TCAGAACGCTCTCACAGTGTTCTCTACATTGTCCAAAAGCAAAGGGTCCTCTGATTCTCATGTTCCAGTGAGACAGAGAACCACAGGAGTTGAGTAAGGATCCGATGAACAAATGTGTGAATTGCTAAGCTTGAGAAAGGTAATGAACCTCCGTTCATTCAACAAATATTTACCGAGCCAGGCTGCCTAGACATACAATGGTGAGCAGGAGCACACACCGCCCTTGCCCACATGGAGCTTACAATCTAATCAAATACTCACATGGATAAATGTAAATTGCATCGTTGCTCTGGGCAACAAAAGATCAGGGCCAGGAGCCAAGAGAGCTTGTACTAAAGTGGTTTAACCTGGCCAGAGGGGTTAGCGAAGACTTCCCTGAGGAAGTGGCTCTTGAGCTGAGAGCTGAAGAATGAACAAGGACACAGGGGAGGAAGAGGAGTGCCCCAGGCAGAAGGAACAGTACATGACCAGGCTTCTGGGCAGGTGGGGGCATGTGGATGTGAGGTGGTCAGAAAGACCAGTCCCGTTCGATGGAGTGGTGAGATGAGGCTGGGGAGGGCAGCCAGGCCCAGCCCAGGCCCAGTCCCATGCACTCGAGTTTGGTTCTTCTCCTCAGAGTTGCTGGGAGGCCACGGAAGGATGGCAGCTGTGATGGTGGTGCTATTGGTAGAGGATGTGTATTTCACTAACAACCAGATCTGGGTTATGAAAAGATCACTCTGGCCGCAAAATGGAGGCTAAGTCAGGGGCAGAAGAGCAGAGTGTCTGTGCAGAGACAGGCAGGAGACGTTTACCACCCAGGACAGAGAATGGAAATGCTCCCCGCCACAGAAGATCTAGCTCCTCTGGTCTTGTTCTCTCCTCCCAGCAAAGCCTTACCTCTGAGAGGCCCCGCCTACCAAGTGCAATGAGTTCTCCCCTCTAGACAGAGAAGGTGGTCTGGCCAGCAAATTAGTCCATTTTGAGTCCATGTGAATCAGTTCCCCCCAGGTGAAATGATAAACATGCAGCTTCTGAATCTGCAAATTGAAAACTCAGCCCTGGATGCAGGGTGACCCCAAGTACAGGTAGCCTGAAAGGCCCACCTGAGAGTTATCAGCTAGGCAGCATCATCTCCTTTACTCGTAACTCCAGTTAAGACACCATCTCTTACACCCCTCACTGAAAACATGTGAAAAGTGAGGCCTAGAGAGGTTTAATAACTTGTCCAAAGTCACACAGTAACTTTTAAGGACCAATTCCCTGAACTCTCTAAAACTCATTAGATGTGTGATGCTTTAAAAATGCTCTACTGGTCAGCATCATCTTTATAGACATACAATGGACAGTCATAGGAACACGCTTTTACGTTTGTTTGTTTTTTAAACTTCTGCACTTTGTATTTTCATTACAATCTCCAGCCCCTAGAGTAGAAGAGCTAAAGAAAGAATGGGCATTCAGTCTAAACCATAAACCTAACTGCCTGAGCCTTCAACAATTTCTGGCATTACATAACACTGCATCCAAGAAATTCACAAATGTTGTTAGTGAGCCTTTCCATATCGGTGTCAGTGCCTTTATTTGTAGATTTAATTTCCAGACATGACGGGAGAACTTAGATCCAGGTTTCAGACTCCAAGAAAAATGAGTTTTCCTTTGCTATTCACTCTCACCTGCCCTTATTTAGCTCCAACAAACACAAATAGCTCAGCGATTGTCCTGGGCTTCTCAGCGTACATTCCGCTCTCCGCACTGCTCCTGGCTCCTCTTTGCTTCTGTGTAGGGTTTCCAGCTCTGACCCTTTCATACGCTTCCCCTGATACCTCTGGGATGTTTCTGCATTGTTACGTGTTTGTTCTTTGTTCCACTGCCTTTTCCCTCAGGGAGCAGCTAAATATTCAAACCTTGGCTCTCATGTTGCTGCTAGAGATTTTAGTTTATATTTGTAACATTTATTCAAGTACGTTCCAAAACAAAAAAGCAAACAAACAGATCTGATTTCCCCATCATTTTTGCTTTAAGATTGAACGTTAGACGTGATTTCCTGTCAACCAAAATCAAATGCAATCTGGCTTTCAGATGGTTTTTTTCCCTGTCTTTTAATGGTACAGCTTCATACAGTCATAATTTTTGATAACCAAGATTCAGAGATGTGTCTGTGTTTAGCAGTTTTTACAAGAATCCTTTTAAACCTACAGTTTGGATTGATAATCTGCAAGCTAGCTCCTTGAGCCAGGAAGCTCCAGGTTGGAGGAGTTTGGCATTAAGGGCTGGGAGAGGTTTTACTCAGAGGGCTCTGAGATTGCAGAGTTTGTGTTAAACATTTGACTTTTTCTCAAATTGGCAGTCTCTTTCCAAAAAGAGCATTATTCTCTCATCTTTAAAGTATGCTGAGTTTAGTCAGTGGATACTAAGCAAATTATCAGGAGAGTTCTCAAGAACTAGGAAGAAAAAGCCAAGGCATTTTACTCAACCTGGGGCCACAACCTCCAGGGGAGCTGGTGAATAATAGAATGGTTTCCCTTCATGTAACCCACTCCTGGCTGTGCTAATACTATGCTAGGACAACCAGCTGAAAAAGGACAAATTTGAATCAAGGCACCAAATTATTTTTCCTATACAATGCTAGGGGGAAGAAAAGTTTCTTGATTGAAATGTTTTGCTACTATGAAAATGATATTACTCTTTCTGGAGTGCATGATTATAAGTTTTCATAACCTGGAAAATATAGTTCTGACTCCCTCCTCCCCACCCCCAATCCCACTAGGTTATGAGAAAAGAAAGCACATTGTTTGGGAAATGGCTTACAAGAGAGAAACAAAAAAACATGCCTGCACAAAAGTTTCTCATAAGTGCCTATTGAGTTGAACTGAATAGAACCCAAGAGTCTGTTTTTATATGGGCCCAAACATCTCCCAATTCAGTCTGTGTAGTTATTAAAGGAATTGCTAGCCTGTTTGCCAAGCATCCTTGTCTTCTACATCTCCTTATTGGTTCCTCTTTGGCTTAAATTCTCACATTTGGAGGAACCTATTTTTTAAATAAAGGGACACAGCAGCTCTCAATAGGAGGAAAAATGATCTTCTAACTGCCTCCTGGCCATTTTCATAGGATATCTTGACCCATAAGTGGCTCCTCGATTTCTGTATTAGGAGGGGCTGGTCAGCAGGAGGTTTGAAGCTGTGTTTACATGGAAGATCAGATAAACGTCAACTGTCCATACCAAAGGAGAAGAGATTATGGAAGTCCCCAAACCTATCTCCCCACTCCTTAGCACTGCCACCATCCAGACTTCACTTCAAATTCAGCACATTCCATAGGGCTCAGGAAGGACTATTTCCCCTTAAAATCAGCTGTTGCCCCTTCCTCCCCAACTTTCCCAACTTCCTCACTTGTTCAAAGCAATATCTTCCTTGTCAGGTTAAAAACATCGCACCTATCTTTATTAAATTGTTCTCCTTAGCTTTCACCCTCCCACTATCTAATTAATCATCAAATCATATCGATTTTTCCTTCGTAATATCTTGGAAACTTTCCTCCATTCTTTTCTATTCTGGCAGAACAGAAATAGAAGAGGAGGATCCAGCTCTTCAGTCTGGATGGGTGGGAAGATGAGAAACACATCACACACAAGTGAAAAAAAAATTATAGAAATATAAAAAAGTACAAAATAACATGTCTCCAAACAAGCTTTATATACAGATCCCGAGGCACTAGCTAGCACTGCGTTTGTCTTGTCGGGGTCCTTCCTCCTGTTCAGAGGCTGTGGAGAGGCCTTTGGGGGTCCAGCTCAGGTCACTTTGATTCCAGACACTGTCTCACCCCACCCCCACCTCCCACCCCTGCCTTAGGATCAGGAAGCCCTCATCTCCAGACTAACTCATCTCCACTCAGAGCATGGCGCATATATATATCCAATCTAAACGTGTTGGCACAAAATACTAAAAGTATTTCATCGCAATTTAAAAATTTTACGTTTATATTTTACCTCCATCTGGACAGAAACGCATTCTTCGGTATTCTTACTGCCCTTCCCCTCCCCCATAGCAACCAACACAGGGTTGGTCAGTTAAATCATAGAGCCCTCGAATTTTAGAGTCAGAAGGACTCTGAGGAGTTCCTCTCGTCCAATGCTTTACAGATGAAGCCACAGGTCTAGAGAGATGAGTGGACTTGCCCACATCCATACAGCTGGGTAGTGGGAAAGCACGGACCAGAATCCAGGTTTCTCCCACTTGGTCTGTACACTCAATTGTCCTTAGATAATCAGTGACAGAAATATCTGACTTGACACAAGGTCTTCTAGGGATGATGGTGATAGGGGTGATTTGCTTTACTTAAACATTTACAAAGATTCCGTCCACGCCACTCGCAGGACCGCCTTGAAGTACTAACTCCTCAGCTCGGTGCTGGGCAGAGTCACAAGTTACTTACTTGGCAGCACTTGTTTTAATTAAGAGTCTGTCGCCTACTCTAGGTTCTTCTGATAGGATGGCGCACACCGGGGCCCCGCACACAGGGACTCCCCTCCCTGGCTGCCGTCTGTCACGCAGCGGCCGCGCGGCCCGCCCCACGTGGACTCGGCTCCCAGGATCAAAGTCTGTTTGCTACCCAGTCCCCGCAGGTGTGCGGTTGCGATGGGCTGCGAGGACCCACAGCGCCAGGGAAGGGACCTCGCCTTGCCTGCCCCTCCCCCTCCTGCTGCACGCGGCCCGCGCCCCCTACCCTCCCCCACGACGCCCGTCGCTGCACCCGGCCGCGGCCCCCCGGCCCACGCCCGACTCCAGGAGGAAATGGCCCCGCCCCCATCTGTTGAAGCTGCGACACCGCCCCCTCCCGCCCCTCCGAGCCTCCATCCAATAGCGAGCGCGGATGGGCGGGGCGCGGCAACTGTCGTGAGGGGGTCCTGGCCAATGGGGGAGCGTGCCGGGCTTGTTGGGCGGGGCGTCAAGGCCTTGTCACGCTCGGGTCCGTGTGAAAACGGGGGTTCCGAGTGCAAAGCAAAGTTTTTTTGTAAACCGTCTGCAAAGGCGGGGGGGCGAAGAAGGCGCCCGAGACCGGGCCGAGTGCAGCTGCCGTGGTCGCCGCCTTTTTAGCTCCTCCGGCGTCGGTTCCTCGGCCGGAGCCACAGCGGAGGTGACCAGTGGAGGGAAGACCTGCGCGGAGAGACCGCAGATGCTTGGAGCCTTCGCAGCGCGGAGCTGCCCGCCGCCCGCCTGCTCCTGCTCGGGCTCCTGGTGCCCGGGCTCCGGGAATCCCAGCTCCCTGCCGCCGCCGCCGCCTCTGTCGCCCGGCTGCGGGTGTGGGGGCTGCTGGCGCTGAGCCGGGCCTCCGCGCCCGCTCCGAGGACGGACGCCTGAAGAGCTGCGCGCCGCCGGCTCGCCGGGGACGCCCACAGGCGCGGGGCTCGGCGGCTTGACCGGGGGCTCGCCCCGGCCGGGCCGGCCCCAGAGGCCCCTCATTGGTGTCCCGGAGGCCCCGCCGCAGTGTTCCGAGCGGCCCGGTGAGAGCCCCGCGCCGCCCTCCCTCCTCCGTCGCGGGGTCGCAGACAGACCCTCGGCGCCGCGCCGCCACCGCCTCCCGAGTGCCCGGGCCGCGTTCGGCGGGCCCTTGAGCCGCAGCCATGGGGTGCTGGGGTCGGAACCGGGGCCGGCTGCTGTGCATGCTGATGCTGACCTTCATGTTCATGGTGCTGGAGGTGGTGGTGAGTCGGGTGACCTCGTCGCTGGCGATGCTCTCCGATTCCTTCCACATGCTGTCGGACGTGTTGGCGCTGGTGGTGGCGCTGGTGGCCGAGCGCTTCGCCCGGCGGACCCACGCCACCCAGAAGAACACGTTCGGCTGGATCCGGGCCGAAGTGATGGGGGCTCTGGTGAACGCCATCTTCCTGACCGGCCTCTGTTTCGCTATCCTGCTGGAGGCCACCGAGCGCTTCATCGAACCGCATGAGATGCAGCAGCCTCTGGTGGTCCTCGGGGTCGGCGTGGCGGGGCTGGTGGTCAACGTGCTGGGGCTGTGCCTCTTCCACCATCACAGCGGCTTCGGCAACGACTCCGGCCACGGCCACTCGCACGGGGGTCACGGCCACGGCCACGGCTTCCCTAAGGGGGTCCGCAGCAAGAGCAACCGCCCCGGGGACAGCGACAACAGCGTGAGCCCAGGCGAGCAGAGATCTGACCAGGAGGAGACCAATACCCTGGTGACCAATAGTAGCAACTCCAACGGGCTGAAACTGGACGGGACAGGTAAGGAGAGAAACTCGCCGCCGCAGGTGGTTTGGTTTGGGGAGCCCAGACCCTAGCCAGGCCCGGGCGGGATGGCCTGCACGCCCCCTGGTGCCCAAGTGGGCCTGCGCTGCGCCGCCGCCTTCCCGCTCCCTCCAGGTCCCGCCCCCGCCGGGGAAGGCGTGCAGATAGGACCCCCTTCAGCCCGAGTGCCAGCGGGTAGAGGAGCGCATCTGTGGGCGTAGGTGGGGGCTGAGCAGCTGAGAGTGGGAATGGGGTCGGGAGGTGACGGTCAGCCGCTGCAGTCCGCAGCCGCACTTGGCTGTCCTGACCGGCTACCTTTTCAAGAGACGGTCTGATCTGGGTTTTTACAGGATCAAAAATGCTTCCTAATTCAATTTCTTGGCCCTATTGGGCAATGGAGACAATCCCCAATTCGTCCTTTGTTACTGGCTGTGTGAAACCCAAGTGGTTCTTATGCCCTTTAAACAAGTTTCTTAATGTTGTATTCAGAGCTATCTATAGGCATTACTTTCCTGAGCTCAAAACCCGGGTTAAAGGTTTCTTTTATGAACGGCAGTGTATGTTTCAGTTAATTGTCTAAAACCTAAACTCAACCCTGAAAATCCTACAATGAGGACCTGTCTAGGCATGTTAAAATAAAGAGTGATGGTAATTTATTCATCTTATATTTTTAGTGAGTGCTGTTCATTCTAATCATTAAGTGCTTTTGAAAGAAATTTGGAAATAAGTGTTGGAAGAAAGGAGACAAAAAAAGGAATCAACCAATACCCTGCTACCCAAGCTCCATGACCTTAACAGTTTGGTGTATCGCCTTCCATTTTTTTCCCCCCATTTATGTTTATTTACCTGGTTGTATGATACTACACAGAGAGTTTCCCTTATTTTCAAGATTCAGGATATTATGCTCATGAAATTCAAGTTGTATATTGAAAAGGTTTAATAGATGATTGAATTGCCTCACATTCCTACTCCACAGGGTGTTTATTCCAAAGAAAATTAAGCTGCTCTGGAGTATACATCTCCTTTAACGATTAATATGTTTGGCTTAAGAGTAGTAAGGTAGATAGTGATCATTTATTTCCAACTTTTCTTGAAGTCTCTTGTCAGTTTCTAACCCCCCCCCACCAAGAAACTAATAAAAGTTTAAAAGTTAAATTTAACACCTTAACTGCAAAGACTGACTAGAGCTTTGTGTTAAATCAGGCCTTTGTCATAGACGTATCCATAGTTGCATTTAATTTGGGGGAATAGCATTGAATTGTATGTTTTCTTTTTGGTACATGCCAAAAAGCATAGCAGAATGTTCACAGGACCCCCCCCCACACACACACAGAAAAGAGCTTTTTTTGGAGTGAGGGAGGTAGGAGGGTGGTTAGGAGAAAGGAGAAACAATATCATCAATGATTTTATTTAACCCTGGCCATTATGTCCTGGCTTGTTCCCAGTATGTCAATTTATGTTAAATTGCCCTGAGCACATTTTATTTAAAATTCTGTTTTTATGAAAAATTTTCACCTCCTTGCTTAAATGGAATGAGTCAAGGATGTTTGTATAAACACTTTAAGTGTATTTGATTCAGAATTTGTATTTCTTTGCAGATCCAGAAAAGTCCAGAAATGATGCAACAGAAATACAAGTAAATGGGAATCTTATCAGAGAAACTGACACTATGGAATTGGAAGAGGATGATAAGGCTGGACAACTTAACATGCGTGGAGTTTTTCTGCATGTCTTTGGAGATGCTTTGGGTTCAGTGATTGTTGTAGTAAATGCCTTGGTCTTTTACTTTTCTTGGAAAGGTTGCCCTGAAGGGAAGTTCTGTGTGAACCCATGTACCCCTGACCCCTGCAAAGCAATTGTAGAAATGATGAATAGTACTCAAGAAACAGTTTATGAAGCTGGTCCTTGCTGGGTGCTATATTTAGACCCAACTCTTTGTATTGTAATGGTTTGCATACTTCTTTACACAACTTATCCATTACTTAAGGAATCTGCTCTTATTCTTCTACAAACTGTTCCTAAACAAATTGATATCAGACATTTGATTAAAGAACTTCGAAATGTTGAAGGAGTTGAGGAAGTTCATGAATTACATGTTTGGCAACTTGCTGGAAGCAGAATCATTGCCACTGCTCACATAAAATGTGAAGACCCAACATCATATATGCAGGTGGCTAAAATCATTAAGGACGTTTTTCATAATCACGGAATTCACGCTACTACCATTCAGCCTGAATTTGCTAGTGTAGGCTCTAAATCAAGTGTAGTTCCGTGTGAACTTGCCTGCAGAACTCAGTGTGCTCTGAAGCAATGCTGTGGGACACGGCCACAAGCCCATTCTGGAAAGGATGCAGAAAAGGCCCCGGCAGTTAGCATTTCTTGTTTAGAACTTAGTGACAATCTAGAGAAGCCCAGGCGGACTAAAGCTGAAAACATCCCTGCCGTTGTGATAGAATTTAAAAACACGCCAAATAAACAACCTGAATCATCTTTGTGAGTCTTGAAAAAGATGTGATATTTGACTTTTGCTTTAAACTGCAAGAGGAAAAAGACTCCATTGAAATTCTAAGTTTGCCAAGTAGTGTAATTGAAGTCCTTGTCTGGTCACACAGTTTAATTCTATTTTTGTAAGAACATAATGGGACTGCTTAACAGAGTTCTATATTACAACTGTGTAATTCGTAATGCAGAGTACAGCTTTGCTGTAACAATTTTGGGAAGCCAGTTTTAACACTATGTTACATTTTTGTTTAAGTATAAACGTTATATAACATAATGACATTTGATTTCCAGCTTTTCCATGGTGAAAAATTAATTAGGGGGATAAATAAATTAAAATTGTTACTGGAATTTCTCTGCTTTTCTTTTCCCCCAGTGTTATACTTTTTTAAAAAAAATCAGAATTAACTGCTAGAACTTTAAAATCCAACAACTTTATTTCCTTTGACATTTTAGGAAATATATCCTTGCCTTTTGAGATCATTATATAGCATAATGACAGCATATTTTAAGAGTGACTCCTGGATATTATTAGGAAAAGTTCCTTTTTTTCTTCACATAGGGTATATATAATACTAATGATCAGTTACAATCCTGTATTCTATATTGCTGAGTATTATTCTAATAAACAGTGAAATAGTTAACAAATCGAACTATAGTTTACACATAAATAGGGCATATGGGGAGTAAGAGCACGGAAGAAAGTTTACCAAATTAAATATTTAGGTTATTGTAAGTTAATATTCAGACTACATTTTTAAATTATTCTGAGAAATTTTCTCTTACCAAAGTTTGTCTAAAATACAGACATGTTCACCAGCATTAATTTTTTGAAAGATTGGCATCAGAAACACTGAGCTGAAAAGTTGACTCACCAAATATATACAGTAAATATTTTTAAGGACAGTAAACTCAAATCTAATAATTACGTGTTAAATGCAAGCTTATTAATGGAATCTCTTAAATTTGGGGTGTTTTAAAACAACTTGACAGAGTGAAAGTCATTTCCTAGTGACCAATTCTGAATGGATTCAAATGCAGCTTTTCCAACAACCAGCAATGCTTGTGTTTTTCCAAGAGCCACTGACTTGGGAAAAGAAAGAAATCTGAAGATTAATGCAGTTTGGATATTAGATTCTTAAAAAGCAATATTAGTTAAAGCTAATCAGATTCTGTAAGTCATCCTGTCTTGACATTGCTCAGATCTTCCAATAGTGGCTTATTTTTTAAGAGGCCACCGTATCTACACAGAAAATTGTTCTTGGCTATTTTATTGTTATGGATTTTAAATCCATACACAAATGTTATTTAAGGGTATTTAAGTTATATTTTTCTTGAAAGAGAAAGGTTATGCTTTGTGAAGAAACTGTATAGATTTTTGTCCTCAAAAGGATGAATATTAATATCAGTTATCATGTATAGCTCTATTTTTTTAGACATAACGTATCCTGACTACTTCAGTGACTTTTATAGCTGACTACTTTTGGGATGGCTACCTTTTGGGGTTTGAAATAATTCATTGTTTAATGGGTCTTAAGATGAAAGCGCTGGCCTTTGACAGTTAACTTTTTAAAGGGATGATCTGGTAGGTGGTGTTTTATTTTCTAGTATAAGCCTATTGCTGGCAATGGGCCTGTTTAAGAACAGCTGATTTTTCCAATGAGAATGAGGTAATTTTAGGAACAAAGTTTGTAAGTTCACATTTACTATAATGGGCCAAAACCATAACCTGCCAATTTGCAATACATCTTGATCTTTTAATACTCTTATCTGATATTGTGTAATTCAATTCCTAAACTGGTAGTTACTTTGGATTTTGTAGAAATTTTTTTTAAACATGAAATCGGGCAATCTCATTCGGGTGAATAAGAGAGAAAGCTTCAAATTGTACTGTATCATGTACATTCCTGATTTAATACTTTCAACTACAAAACTGTTTGTTATAGAAACATTTCAGTAATGATATAATAGGAAAACTGATAAAGTATATAGTCAGTGGAGTTTTCTTTACAAATACTCTATTGGGTCTATTTCTTAAAGGTTGTGTAATATATAAGACATCAACTGAATGAGGATTTTTTAACTGGTGTAGAAGCATGGGGCAAGGGCTTTTTTTTTTTCCAAACGTGCTTTGAAAGTAGCAGTCTTTAGATTTCAGTTTCACTTTTCATAATTTTTCAGTAGCTCATATGTAACAAAGTGGTATCATGGGATTCTCTTTTTTCAAAGGACTTGGTCATAATAGCAAAATCAGTGGGCACTGACTCAACCTTTTGAGTTTTAGGCAGAGAATTATTTATTTCTTTACAATGCACTTTCTAACCCATTTTTAGCTATATTAGCATTATCCTTTTAAAAAATGCTTTTCTATTTAAATATTGTGGGATTTAAGTTTCTTTTCTAAAATAGCTTATTCCTGAAAGAAAGTGAGGGACATACCCTGCATTCTTAGGAGACTTAAACCCAATATTTAAATATGCTGTTTTATAACACTGCATCAGTTTTAGGGGGTGCACCTCTCCGGCTGGCTCTTTTATATTTGAGCAAGATCAGTGTATTTAGAATATGTGTTTAACAACTTGTCTGTTTCGATTTAGTGAGAAGGTGCTGCATGTGCCTGAATTAAAACCATCCCAGAAATTTTTCCAAGCCAAATGCAGCCTTAGTGATGAGAGATTTCATTCTCCATTTTCACCTTTGAGCTTCTGTGATTGTTTAATCATTTTTTTTAAAGGCATCGGCATTGTAAAAGTATGGACTAGAACCTACAAAAAAAAAGGTCAAAAAACTCCCCAAAACTTTGCTGTATGTATTGTATTTTAGAAAACAAATGTTTGACGAACTAAGGTATGTCATTTGAATAGGAAAAATTTCCATTGAGAGCACCTTTGGAAAGTCACAATAGATAGAAGACTATGTTAACCCATTTGTGTTTTATTGAACATCCTCAGTTAATTTTGAACTTTTGAAAGTTTTGAGGGAAAAGGCCCATGGAACCTAATGTGAAGTTTTTAGTAGGCTAACTGGTATTGAGTTGAAGATTTTTACTGTTTATAAGCAGATATTTGAATGATATAAATGTCATTTACCTGCTGTCTTAAGATGTTCTCATACATAAATATGGAGAATAATTCTACAATATAGAAATATTTATTTTAATAGAGTTTCAGTTAAGTCATAAAACAGTGTTAAAACTCTTGGGAAGGTGGAGGGGTTTTTTGTTTGTTTTTTAAATTGAAACTGTTAAATACAGTGTTTGACCATCTGAAATGAAAATTGTAATAGCACTATTTTGATGTCGCTCTGCCGATAACTATGTGGCAATGCTATTTTGTTTTACTAACAAGCTCTGGAATATTTAGCAGTCATTTTCACTGGCACAAGAGCTTTTTGTATGTCATTCAGTTTAAACTTTTAAACCAAAAATTTTATGGTCCAGTGTCTTTGGCAAAAAGACACTGGAGGGAATGTAACATACAATTAACATGTGGTTATATATAAAAACACACGAATTGCCATGTTATGGTTCTGCCTTGAAACAGCACAATGAAGTGTATCAGTGTATTCTGTGATCCTTTATGAAACTTTCATGTTGTGTTGTTTTGTGTCTCCATAGCCTGTTGTTTGGGCCAGATGTGGCAACAGTTAAATGCAACTATCATTTCATTAAATGCAGATGCACATAAACTGTTGTTAGTGCTGCAACATATTACCTAACATTTGGTATGTTTTATGACTGTGCATTGTTTTCCAAAGCTGTTCCTACCTCACCCATGAGGCTTTATGGATTGTTATGTATTATAAATGTTCTTTATGAGACAGACTACTGTGTTTCTTCTCATTTATTAAAAGTTAAGTAGAAAAATAAACTAATTTTTAAATATCTACTTCATCATTTTGTGCATATGGCCTCCCCTTCTGTGCTAGTCTGGACTTCAGGTATTGAAAGGAAAATTGCAGCTTAACAAAGGTGTTGCTTTTGTGCAGAATGCCCTGGCTACAGGACAGTGAGGTGGAGGAGAACAAATGTGGGCAAAAATTGCAGTAGAAACTGAAAGTGTAATAATAGTGCCGAGGCTCACCAACATGAAATACTCAATTATGTAGCTATAGGTTAACCTGCTTCTTTGATACCTGCTATTGTTTATTTGTAAGCATAGTTACTAACAAAGATTATTAAGCATTTTACAATTATATAACCATCTGGAACTATTAACCCGAGGGAACATTAGTACATTACTACTAGGTTATATGAGTTCAGGACTATTATAAACCTAGTCTCATATAAAGAATTTCTTTAAAGAACTTGTACTCCTGGCTGGGAGATAAACAGTTGAAAAATCAATTGATAATAAATGCCAGTAGATAATTAATAGAATTGATAAATACAGTAGATATTCCAAAGAAAGAATAAAAACCTTTGGAAAGGTTTCAAGTAGGCTAAAATTGAAAGGAGGGGGAGGGGGTGAGAGGCAGGGGGCATGGAATAGTATAGAGGGCTGAGGGTCCAGATATAGAAGGAAATTGTTAAAAGTGCCATGTCAGCTGGTTTAAATTGGGTTTTATAGGAATGGAGGAAGCCATTAGTAATATTTGAGTGGAAAAGGCATTGCACAGGATAGATTTGGAATGGAAGCAAAGTGAGACAGGACAAATCAGTTTACTAGGCATTCAATGCTAAGAGCATGAGCCAGCTCCCAAATAACACGTACCCCCTACATAGAGCACGTTACTATTGATTCCACACACATTGTTTTCATACTTGAACATTTCTGAAATCAGACACGCACAGGTACAATCAGTGGTATCTTATTGCTGTTGGCCAACTTCTTATCTGATTGTGTTTTTACTCTTAAGGGTTCAGAAAAGAATTCTCAGGCAATACGCTCTTTTAAGAAGTATGTGCCAACATTCCCTAAAACACTTTCAGGTACTATGAATTGCACATCTGAATGAGAGCTGCTCATTTCGAATTAGATGAAAATACTCTTAAGAAAGTCAGTGGCAACATTTGGTTTTAAGGAAATCTCATGGACATTTCCAAGCCTTCAGAACTGACCATTTTTGGCACCTCCC